CGGTAAATTTTTGTTTAAATTGATAGTTTAGTTGTCCTATAAACTTAAATTGGTCATGTTCTTGTTACGCAGCTAGTTAATGAAATCCAAGTAAAAAAAAAATGCAGACCCTGTTGTATTTTCTTGTAATTTATTAAAAGAAGGTACACCGCCATCTTGTGCCGACTAAACTGATTTGAACGCACCTGACGTCATAATTACGACTTGTCAATTCGTAAGTACGAACGTCCCAGGAGGACTTGAACGCAGCATAACCCAGTGATGGGCAAACACTTTCCTGCAGAGATTTGATCCAACCCTGATATGACTCACCTGCCTGTAGCCTTCTAGTAGTCTTGAAGACAATGATTAGCTGGTTCAGGTGTGTTTGATTAGGGTTGGAGCTAACCTCTGAAGGAAAGTGGCCTGGAAGGGCCCAGTTTGCCCACCCCTGGTCTAACCGTACGATGACAGATACTGGAGCATCAGTGGAGATTTGAAGCTCATGATCTTCTGTTTTTCCAGCAGAAGGACTGTGAGACACACAACGGTGAAGGATTTGATGGTCCAGCTCTTGATGTGCTCCTGACGGATCTGGAGAAGGTCAACAACAGCAGAGAAAGAGCTAACAGACTGTTCCAGTGGCTTATTCACCCAGTCCAAGACAAGAGCTTCTTCAGGAGAGAGACTGCAGACAAAAGTATGAGGCTCAGCAGCAGTGATGAGGAGAAATCTAAGGCCGTAAGTGTCTAATGGTGCGTTCAAGTCATGTCGGATAGATCGTATTTACGAGTTGAACGCACATGGACGCCACCACAAAGTCGTTATTATGAGTGGGAAACTCAACATTTTCTTTAAGCCCCGAGTTTCCGAGTTGGGGGCGTGTCTATGAGAAACATGGCGGAATCGATGGATGCAACGTCTGTAGTTGACGGTAAATTTTTGCTTAAATTGATAGTTTAGTTGTCCTGTAAACTTAAATTGGTCATGTTCTTGTTACGCAGCTAGTTAATGAAATCCAAGTAAAAAAAAAATGCAGACCCTGTTGTATTTTCTTGTAATTTATTAAAAGAAGGTACACCGCCATCTTGTGCCGACTAAACTGATTTGAACGCACCTGACGTCATAATTACGACTTGTCAATTCGTAAGTACGAACGTCCCAGGAGGACTTGAACGCAGCATAACCCAGTGATGGGCAAACACTTTCCTGCAGAGATTTGATCCAACCCTGATATGACTCACCTGCCTGTAGCCTTCTAGTAGTCTTGAAGACAATGATTAGCTGGTTCAGGTGTGTTTGATTAGGGTTGGAGCTAACCTCTGAAGGAAAGTGGCCTGGAAGGGCCCAGTTTGCCCACCCCTGGTCTAACCGTACGATGACAGATACTGGAGCATCAGTGGAGATTTGAAGCTCATGATCTTCTGTTTTTCCAGCAGAAGGACTGTGAGACACACAACGGTGAAGGATTTGATGGTCCAGCTCTTGATGTGCTCCTGACGGATCTGGAGAAGGTCAACAACAGCAGAGAAAGAGCTAACAGACTGTTCCAGTGGCTTATTCATCCAGTCCAAGACAAGAGCTTCTTCAGGTGTGAGACTGCAGACAAAGCTAACTTGAATTTGTTTCTTAATTGATGAATTTTGTAACATTGACACCGTTATTGAACTAAATTGTGTAGAAGCTTGTTTTCACCACTGGATAAAAAGTAAAAAAGGTTATTGCAACTTTTTATCTCACAATTGCTTGTTTATATCTGACTTAATTCTGACTTCTGACTTTTCTTCTTAGATATAAACTGAAAGTTCTGAGAAGAAAAGTCTGAATTGCGAGGTGAAAAGTCGCAATTACTGTGATAGAAACATAAAAACAGAACTGTGATTCTGAGAAAAAAGTCAGAATTCTGAGTTCATATCTCGCAATTCAGACTTTTTCTGAATTTCAAGTTAATATCTTGCAGTTTCTGTGTTTATATCATGCAATTCTGAGGAAAAAAGTCAAAAAGTCTAAATTGTGAGATAAAAAGTCACAATTATCTTTTTCTTTCATTCTAATTTTGTCATTCTGTGGTGGAAAAGGGCTTGCATAGAATTGAATCAGCATTGAACTACATTGAGCTGAATATTGGTAATATATTCTTCTGTAGAGCTGCTTTACAGCCGGAATTAAAGGGGTCATATGATGCGATTTCAAGTTTTCCTTTCTCTTTGGAGTGTTACAAGCTCTTGGTGCATAAAGAAGATCTGTAAAGTTGCAAAGACTAAAGTCTCAAATCCAAAGAGATATTCTTTATAAAAGTTAAGAGTCAGCCACGGCTACCTAAAATGGCTCGTTCTAACACGCCCCCACATACCTACGTCACTATGTGGGAAGATTTGCATAACGCCGCCCAAATGTTCACGCAAAGAAAGAAGGCGTAACTTTGATTCTCGCTGTAGTA